GTATGGATGTGAGAGTTGGACTATAAAGAAAGCTGAGTGCCAAAGAATTGATTCTTTTGAACTCTGGTGTTCTAGAAGACTCTTGAGAGTCCCTTGGACTGCAAGGAGATCCAACCAGTCCATCCTAAAGGAAATCAGTCCTGAGTGTTCAGTGGAAGGACTGATGCTGAAGCTGAAACCCCAATACTTTGGCCACTGACTCCTTGGAAAAGACCCTGATGCTGGGAAAGATTGAAGGTAGGAGGAGAAGGGGACAACAGAGGATGAGATGGTTGGATGGCATCATCGACTCAATGGACATGAGTTTGATTAAACTCTGGGAGTTGGTGATGGACAGGGAAGCCTGGTGTGCTGCAGTCCATGGGGTCACAAAGAGTCAGACAGGACTGAGCGACTAAACTGAACTGAACTGATGAGTACCAAGGTCCACATTTAATTTCAAAAGTGTGTATGTTAATCTGAGAAGGATAGAACATATAACAAAGTTTCTTGCATGGTAGGCAGATTCTTTACCTGCTGAGCCACCAGGGAAGCCCCAATATAAGATAGTATGCCAACACAGTAAGTTATTACCAATTCTATGCACTTAGGATTCAAGTTTAAAAATTTCACTATGAAAAAGATGATAAACAAGAGACCTTTCAGCTTATTTCCCAGGTTGAATAAGTTAATTGGATATTTTGATATCAGCAGGAATCAATAACTGCTTCTAGCTTTTCTATTTTAGGTATAAGATGTCACTTTGAATTATTCTGGTGGTAAATTGGCAGGTAGTGATACAATCATTAAAATTATTATATAAAATTCTTGACTTTTTGAAAAAGAAATTTCAGATAGTTTTCAATATAGGAAAATCTTCTAAAGAGCTTCATATAAATCAGCTTATTGAAACTCATCAACCATAAGGTACCTGACCCAGGCAAAGCAGACAGAATGGTTGGGCATAAGTAGCTCTACTGAATTTACATGCACAAATACTCAATTTTAAACCTGATAGGATTTTAATCATTAACTAATTTAAGTCTTCTGGTAAACTCAGGACCTGTCTGATAGGATAGAAAGGCTTCTTTGAAAGGTAGAGTATTGGCAATAGATGACTTCTTCCCTTATCTAACCCTCCAGGTTATCTGTGCTTACATCTGCCCTCAGCCCCAGGCAATCTGTGCCCCTGGATGCTTTACCCTTCAAGGGAAGGAGGGAATTATTATAGGTCAAGAGACTGTGATTTCTGCCTGAGGGGGGGAAAGGAGCCTGGGTGGTATTTGGATGCTGACTTTATTTTAGCAGTGGTTCTTCACCTTGGCTGCATAAGATAGAATCAGATTCTCCTGGGGAGAGACCCAGGTGCCAAACCCTTAATAATCTCTGCAGGTGATTTCAGTGTACAGACAAAGTTGAGAATCCTAGTTTTGGGACACCAAGTCTCATTTAAGTGCCCATCAGAATCACCTGGAGAGAATGTTAGTTATAGAAGGCTAGGTCCTCACCTCTGGAGTTTCAGATTCAGGAAGTCCGGCTGTGCTGTGCTTAGTTGCTCAGTTGTGTCCAACTCTTTGTGACCCCGTGGACTGTGGCCCGCCAGCCTCCTCTGTCGATGGGGATTCTCCAGGCAAGAATACAGGAGTGGGTTGCCACGCCCTTCTCCAGGGGATCTTCCCAACCCAGGGATTGAATCCAGGTCTCCCGCATCGCAGGCGGATTCTTTACTGTCTGAGCCACCAGGAAAGCCCAAGAATACTGGAGGGGTAGCCTAACTCTGGGAGAAGGCAATGGCAACCCACCCCAGTACCCTTGCCTGGAAAATCCCATGGGCGGAGGAGCCTGGTAGGCTGCAGTTCATGGGGTCGCGAAGAGTCGCACACGACTGAGCGACCTCACTTTCACTTTTCACTTTCATGCATTGGAGAAGGAAATGGCAACCCACTCCAGTGTTCTTGCCTGGAGGATCCCAGGGATGGCGGAGTCTGGTGGGCTGCTGTCTATGGGATCGCACAGAGTCGGACATGACTGAAGCGACCTAGCAGCAGCAGCAGCAGCCTAACGCTTCTCCAGGGGATCTTCCCGACCCAGGAATCGAACCGGGCTCTCCTGCGTTGCAGATGGATTCTTTACCAGCTGAGCTACCAGGGGAGCCCAGTAAGGTCTGGGGTGGGACCCAATAATTTGCATTTTAGTAGCTTCCCAGATGAAGCGGTTGCTGCTGTCCCACACTTTGAGAACCCATCTTAGAAGAGCTAGATTCTTGATACATACTGGAATTCAGCTGTGAGTGGGGCCTAAGGAGTGGAATGAAAACTAGAAGGAGAGGACAGACACCTCTAATTCCTCTCTTTTCAAAGGTAAAGTGAACTGGGATCTACCCCTGCACTGCTCATCCCCTATTTTTGTAGCCTTTATTTTACAACTTGAGAAAATAAAAGCTCTTTAAGGGTCATGTGAACAGCCCAAAGCTGGTTACACCGGAATTAAGCATCCCACTATTTAGCTGGTTTCCTTGCTCCTGCAGACCCACCTCTGCCCTGCCTCAGCACCGAATCTCCAGTTAACCCTGATCCATTTATTACCCTTCTCTCCTCCCCTGCCCCGCCCGCAGCGTTCTGACGTAGTTGCGCCGACGACGTGCACCAAAGCCCACAGGGGGCCGTCCTCGGTGGTGCGCCGCGTGCTGCGCAGGCGCAAGCCGCACGGCGCCGGAACCGGTGTCATGGATGGCGTCAACCGGGTGGTAAGTGAGGATCATCAGCTGGGCCTCTTGGCCTGCGCCCCGTCCGTGCGGAAGGAGTGTGACCCTGGGGTCGTGGCGGCGGAGCTCCGCACACCACTATTGTTCCTCCTGGCCCTTCACAGACGTTCAGAGGCCCTCTTCCATAGGGGCTTCGGCTGTTCTTCGCCTCCGTGTTGGAGGAAACGGATTAGAACCAGTAGCTCACCTGAAGTTGGATCTGGCTCCCATCAGAAGAGCAGATGTCCCTTTTCTTCTTCTCGCTTCTCATCCAAGCTGAGGTTCTCTAGAATACGGATGTGAGCTGGTGGTTAGAGGTGGAATGCACCTTAGCCCTTCCAGTTTCCTATGTGTTTAGAATTACTAAATTCAGTTGTCCTTTTAATTGTAGTCCTTGATTTTAGTATGGCCACTGTTGATTCTAAGCTGTATTATTTACCTGATATAACAGGTAATGTGATACTTTGTTACTCCACCACATATTTTTAGAGGTCTCCCTCACCCTTCCACTTTCCCATCCTTAAATATCTTAATGTTTAAGTGTACAATTGAAATTGATAAACGGAGACATTGCTCTCCTACCGTTAAGGAGTACCTAAACCTCACATGAGAATTGATAGGCTAAATGGCCTTGTCAGACCTTCTATCAGTCTTAAAAACCTGAATTAAAGATAAAGTCAGGGAGTCATGTTTATTTTCAGTTCAAGTCAAAAGTTCACATTTGGTAAAAGGCAATGTAGCTTGTCCAGATATGTGGTATTTTATGGGTTCCACCTATACATACACAGCATAAAAGGGTTCATGTCTAGAGAAAAGTTATTATCTTAATGTGTATCCATTGTCTGATTTTAGTGTGTTTTAAGATATGTAAAATAATTATACTTGAGTTCACCATGTATACCATTTGATTATGATGAAGATAAATATAAAGTCTAACTGTAGTCCTAGAAGAGAAAGTACATTCAGTCCCTACTTTGCTTTTGAGATTTTTGTGTTGTAATGGGTCATTTTTGATGGCTGCTGTTACACTCTGAGGGTAGATCTTAAAAGATGTTTTTATCCCTAAGAGTTTTTCCCTCTAGCTTTAAATGTGATCACACTAGCTGAGATCAACACTGAAGCCTCAATTTAGCACTCCTTTATCAGGGTAAACCGTTTTAGAAGAAACAGCTAATCTAGAGCACCTAATCTTACTGTTTATACTTGTGAATAACATATTACTTAATATATTACTGATTGGCTTATTTATAGGCTTACCCTTGGTCTTCAGAAGGATAAGTTTAAAACCTAACTACTCTTGGCATGAACGTATTTATTTACTGAGTAGTATCAAAAAGCAGTCCTTGAATAACAGAATTTTCAATTTGGCCTGTTAATTGCTGAAATAAGAGCAATTCAACTACATTCCTATTTTGTCATTTCTTATCAGTCCACTAGGTCAGGTCAGTATTGTTAATATACTTAGCATGGCTCTTTTTTTTTTTTGCATTGAGTAATTTTAAATTTTTATTTATTTTTATATTTTATTTTATTTTTTGGCCACGCTGTATGACTTGCAATGAATCTTTGTTCCTTGACCAGGGATTGAACTCGTGCCCCCAGTAGTGAAGGCACTGAGTTTGCCAGGACTATGGTGGAAGTGAAGTGCAATTTACATAGATTTGAAGGACTGAGTTTATTTCACAGGGCTATTTTTCTATTGATATTGACCAATTTTTAATCTGGTAAAAATCTGCTTTTAGGATGTTACTTACTCTCTGCAGACTATGGAAGGGTAAGGTTCATTTAGTTTCTTAGTTTCTGTCCTTAGTTTCTCTTAGGAAATCCTTTTTGTTGCAGTTTACTTGACCATGGTTCAGGATATCTTTTGGATTATGTGTGTTTTGGAAGTGGGAAGCATTTTGGCGACTATTGTAAATGCTTGCCCCAAACTTATGAGTTGGAATTTATTTACATTTGGGGAAATAATAAACTCTAAAAAAGCTCTTTGGTCTGTTTGAGAAAAGAGTAAACTGAAAACCAAAGGTTCATTTCCACTTGCCTTAAATTAATTTCCTTTCAAAAAGGACTGGGGAGGTTAAATACTGACACAGAAGTCAGGGAACGTGAAAATAAGCATACATCTTGATGAGATTTTTATCTCATATTTTCTTGTAGTATTGTGATTCAGGGCTTCCCTGATGGCTCAGCAGGTGAAGAATCTGCAATGCAGGAAACACAGGAGATGCCAGTTTAATCAAACCTGGGTTGGGAGGATCCCCTGGAGGAGGAAAGTGGTAGCCCACTCCAGTATTCCTGTCTGAAATACCCCTTGTACAGATGAACCTGGCAGACTATATAGTCCCTGGGGTCACAAAGAGTCAGATTTGACTGAGCAACCTACACACTCATTGTGATTCAGCCTTGTAGATAGATTGAGACTATGGATCTGAAATTAACACAATTTATGAAAAGCTAAGACTATACCGGGAATAGGATACATTTAGTGAAAATCTTTGCGATGGCTTTTCTTTAGATATAAAATTAGAAAGTGTACATTTCATGTTTTCTAAGGCTGGGCACACTCAAACTTGAATGTAAAACTTTTAACAATTGCTTTTATGTAGGCTAAACTTTACAGATCTGTAATTGAAGATGTGATTGAAGGAGTGAGGGATCTCTTTGCTGAAGAAGGTGTAGAAGAACGAGTCTTAAAAGACTTGAAGCAGGTTTGTAGACAGTAAAAGTTTCTGTCTTTTGTTTTTTCAGCTTAAAAAATGGCTAAACTATAATTCAGACCTCTTAATTAGCATTTAACACTTACCCATTGATTGAGATTTCAGTTGACAATTTAAAAGTTAAAAGAATAGCAGTCAATATCCTATTTTTTTTTAAAAAGCAAACATTTTGTTTCTCTCTGCAGCTCTGGGAAACAAAGGTTTTGCAATCTAAAGCCACAGAAGACTTCTTCAGAAATAGTGTTCATTCACCTCTATTCACGCTTCAGTTGCCACACAGCTTGCACCAAACATTGCAATCATCAGCAGGTTGGATACAGTTAGTAAATTAGTAGTATTTGTCTTTGTAACAAATTCTCCTTTGGTGGTGGTTTTGAATTAGGGTAATATTCTTAAGGTAAGAGGGCTTGGACTTCAAAAATCATTGTTAAATAAATGAATGCAGGATAAGTCATCACTGCCATGTAATTATTGATAAGAAAGTGAGGTTGTTTAAACTTTTAAACTATTTTTTTTTTTAATTCTATAGTCACCAAAGGTGACAAAGCTATACTGCAGAAGAACAAGTTGTATAGTTCATGAGCTATTGGGAATACCTTCTGGTTATTTCAGAAAATTTAATTGTCTGTAGTCAAGGAGTAATCCAACCATTGTTGGTAAAGAAGCAGAGGGAAAGATGGGTGCTTGCAAACTTGAGCACCCTTTCTTCTTGCTGTCTGTATGTATGATAAATTTGCCATTTAATTGGAAGCAAAATGGAGCTTTTGTGAACAATCCCTTTTATAAACAAGGATGTGGAGGTTATTCAGGCTGCTTCACAGCTTTGGATATAAAATGATGGCTGGAAATGGACCTTACGCATATTGTCACTAATCTTGGTCCTACTAAATCTCAATCCCTGCTTGTAAGGGAAATATTTGTCCATAATATGTCTATTAGTTTACACTGGAAAAGATTAGCTGTTAAAAGATAAAGCAATGCTATTATGTCTTTCTAGCTTTTATTTCTTTTTTTCTCCCCTGATTCTTAAAATCATTATGCTGTCCTGATATGTGTATGTGTATACATCTGCTCGTTGATACACAGAGACGCAGGCAGAGACACCGACAGGCGCAGAGGCACACACCAGCAGACACACCTAGATACAGGCATGCCCAGACACACACACACACACACACACACAAGTAGGTTTTATTGGATTTAGCTGGAATTCAGTAGATTAATGTCTGCAAGGGTAGATTAAATTGTCAATACAAAGTGGATCGTTCATGGTATACTTGGGAAAATTCACATGAAAATCATGTGGGCCAAGGTAAAGGAGGCTTGTACCTCCTCTATAACAAGATGAGAGAATTTAAGTGTGGCAGCAGTCATAACTTACAGAGATGAAACCAACAAAGAGAGTTGAGTTACCAAACACAGCTTTTATCTAATGCTGTGCTTAAAATGTAGAATATTGCACTTTAAGAATTCACCATGGCAGTTTTAATTACTTAGTTGACACACTGAAACATTTTCCATCAAATTTTGGGTTTTTGACTCTGCTTTCATTTTTAACTTCGCTGTTTTATTAGGGCATTCCTTTTATTTCTGCGTTTAAATAACATTCTTTTACTCTTTTTCTCATCATTAAAGAACTTTAAAGATTTTTTTCCTTATGAGTGGCTTGAAGTGTGGTCAATGTGGAGGAATAAAATACTTGATTGAATTTTATCAAAAGCGTAGTTCTTGAAAAAAGAATAGCCAGAACACTTCCACTTTCTGTCATTCAAAATTGCAATACTAGATTTTGCCGCAAGATGGTAATATTACCAATGATTTAAATCACAAAATAGTCTTGCAACTAATATATCTAGCTGACTTTCACTCAACACTTCATTCTAATTTCTTTCTTAGAGGTTAGAACAATGGAAATAATTGCATTTAAACAAGATAGTTTTTCTTATTCTCTTCTGCATCATTCATAATGAAGTGAAGAGGAAGCACGTGTATCCTGTAAAACTACACTATAGGCCTTATTGCCTTCCATCTTCATTTCTAGGTTACTCTAGTACCTAGTAAATAACCTCATGAAATTGGAAGTGCTTTTTATGTCTTCTCATTGTGTGCTTTTAAAAGCCTGATTAAGATAACCTAAACTTCTACAACCTTTTCATCTCTTGATAATGAGTTCTAATTAAATCTACAATGGAATAAGTCATTTGCCTTTGTCTGTTTAAAGTTTGTTTGCCCTATTATGTTTTCATTGACTGTATTACCCATTTGTGTAATAATTTGCTGTATCTTCACTTGTCAACTTTTTTTTCTTTTTTTTTGTTGAGGGGGCGTCTCAGGACCGCTTTACACTTTAAAATCGAGAAACTCAAAGTACTTTCTTTTGGGTTATAGATATCTATAATATTAGAAATTAAAGCTGAGACATTTCTAAAATGTTGATTTACTAACTTAAAAAGTGATTGTATGTTAATATGTATTTGTTAAAAATAACTTTTCTAGAACAAAAAGTATTTAGTGAGAAGATTGGTATTGTTTCACTTTTCTGCAATTCTTGTTAATGTCTGGCTTAAATCAAGATAACTGGATTCTCTTATCTATTTCTAAATTTAATCTGTTATGATATGTAGTTTTAGGTAAACTACATACAAGAAGAAAATCTTATATTCCACGGTTAGATAATTGAAAAAGCAGGAGTATTTTAATAGCTTTTTCAGGTAATTTGGCACTAAGCTAAAACTCAACAAGTGGTAGCTTCTGAGAGGTTAGGTGCAAAGTAGAATCAGTATCAGTAGGACTTTTTGTTAAAGTTCCCTGGTGTATCTTGCACTTTGAATGACACTCTAACCTGTGTGTAATTTTGGTAACATATGTTGATGACTTGGAAAATGTTGGTTCGCTGAGTTAAATATTTGACACATTGTTCATGATACAGGATAAAAAGTCATTATCATCCCCCACATCTCAGAAAAGTGTTCTAAGTATTGGAAAGCAATGAAGCTCACTGTTGTGGATATAGAATTTCCAAAATTCTAATTTTTGCTTGAAAACTTGAATTTTATCATTCCTAAATAAACACTGTCAGTTTGTTTTTCTTTGAGGTGATGGGCACACTTAGTTCATTTTCAGAAAACTGCCATATACCCAACTTTGAAGAACTATGGTTACTATCAGTTTTTCTTTCAAGTAAAACTAGTGTTTCTTAAAAAAAAGAGATTAGCTATGTCAGCTCCCAACTTAAACAATAGTACCATTGCATCTCATTGTACTTCCTCGTACTTCTGTATGCCACAGAAATGCTTTATATGTTCTTCCAGTTTCCTCATACAGAATATTAAAAGGAAGTGTACTTGAGGGTTGACATTTAGTAAAAATAATTATTTGTAGTTACATTAAGGAACTTCTTAAGTGAGACAGTTTTGTTGTTGCTGACTCAAAGTACTTTCTTTTGGGTTATAGATATCTATAATATTAGAAATTAAAGCTGAGACATTTCTAAAATGTTGATTTACTAACTTAAAAAGTGATTGTATGTTAATATGTATTTGTTAAAAATAACTATTTTCTAGAACAAAAAGTATTTAGTGAGAAGATTGGTATTGTTTCACTTTTCTGCAATTCTTGTTAATGTCTGGCTTAAATCAAGACAACTGGATTCTCATATCTATTTCTAAATTTAATCTGTTATGATATGTAGTTTTGAAGAAAATCTTATATTCCACGGTTAGATAATTGAAAAAGCAGGAGTATTTTAATAGCTTTTTCAGGTAATTTGGCACTAAGCTAAAACTCAACAAGTGGTAGCTTCTGAGAGGTTAGGTGCAAAGTAGAATCAGTATCAGTAGGACTTTTTGTTAAAGTTCCCTGGTGTATCTTGCACTTTGAATGACACTCTAACCTGTGTGTAATTTTGGTAACATATGTTGATGACTTGGAAAATGTTGGTTCGCTGAGTTAAATATTTGACACATTGTTCATGATACAGGATAAAAAGTCATTATCATCCCCCACATCTCAGAAAAGTGTTCTAAGTATTGGAAAGCAATGAAGCTCACTGTTGTGGATATAGAATTTCCAAAATTCTAATTTTTGCTTGAAAACTTGAATTTTATCATTCCTAAATAAACACTGTCAGTTTGTTTTTCTTTGAGGTGATGGGCACACTTAGTTCATTTTCAGAAAACTGCCATATACCCAACTTTGAAGAACTATGGTTACTATCAGTTTTTCTTTCAAGTAAAACTAGTGTTTCTTAAAAAAAAGAGATTAGCTATGTCAGCTCCCAACTTAAACAATAGTACCATTGCATCTCATTGTACTTCCTCGTACTTCTGTATGCCACAGAAATGCTTTATATGTTCTTCCAGTTTCCTCATACAGAATATTAAAAGGAAGTGTACTTGAGGGTTGACATTTAGTAAAAATAATTATTTGTAGTTACATTAAGGAACTTCTTAAGTGAGACAGTTTTGTTGTTGCTGATTTTATTTATTTTTTTAGTTGTGAGTAAATAGCAGTGGGGAATAAATACAGTGAGCACTAGTAGGGTTTGGTGCTTACAGGCTTAATTTACATGACAACGCCTTCAGTTTTAATCATTTGCGGCTTTATGCCATAGAGCAGATGTCAGCAGTACCCTGCCCCAAATGCTCAGTGAGAAATGAAAAAGGCATAAATTGCCCTGATACCCTGGTGGCTCAGATGGTGAAGAATCTGCCCGCACTGCGGAAGACCTGGGCTCTATTTCTGGGTTGGGAAGAGCCCCTGGAGGAGGGCATGGGAACCCACTCCAGTATTCTGGCCTGGAGAATCCCATGGACAGAGGAGCCTGGTGGACTACAGTCCATGGGGTCACAAAAGTCGGACACGACTTAGTGACTAAACAACCACCATTCTATTCTTATATATCATTTATAGTCTTTTAAAAAAATGATTAATTTTAAAGAGCATCTTTAGAGTCACAGCAGATTTGAGAGACATTTCCCATGTACTGCTTGCTCCCTACTCAAGCATAGCCTCTTTAGTTATCAACGGCCCTCAGGAGAGTGGTTCAGCCACTTTGGAAAAGTTTGGCACTTCCTTACCAAACGACATGTACCCTTATCATATGATCCAGCAATCACATTCTTTGGTAGGAACTGTGTGAAACTTTACTATAAAATTTTGTTAGTTCAGTTCTTTTGATGACTATAAAGAAACTCTTAAAGCTCTCTTATAGCTCTGTTTGATTTATAAGAGTAGAGAGAATTATCCTTTGGGATTTATTTCAGAGTATTTAAAAGGGGAGAATTATTGCTATTTTTCCTCAAGAAATTCTTTTAATTGCTGCAGACAGTATGTTAACAGATTTTTGTTTCCTCTCAGGCTATGACTTAAGCTGTGTACCAGCCTAAGCTTTGCTCACTTCAGCTAATTAAGACTAATACCATTGTGTTCCTGCCACTCCAATTCTTTCTAATTTAGCCTTTCTAAAAGAATGCCTGTTAATAAGCAAAGCCATAGATGGCAGAGGATAAAAATAATTTTGTACCTCATTAACTATCAATCTCTGTAGCTTCACTTCTGTTGTCTTAATGTGACAAGAATGGTTAGTTAAAAAATTTTGCTCTTCTGAGCTGTTTGTTGTATGTGTTGGAGCCACTCTAATGTCAGAAATGGATCTTTGGGGAAGTCTTCCTTAACACAGTATGTGAAAAAAAATACCATAAAAATATTGCATTTACTATAACATGCTGCTTGAACATGCAAAAATTTTTTTATTTCATTAAAGAAAAGACATGGTCTTCTAACAGTCAGATTCAAGTAGATAAAATGAACCTTGAGGTAAGGTTTAAGATTATATTGGTCAACTAAGATCCTTCTAGTAACTGTTTGTTCTTTAGACTGATGTTTAAGTAAATTTTATTGAAGCATAGTAGATTGGAAATATGTTAGTTTCTTCTGTACAACAAAGTGAATCAGTTATAAAATACATATATCCACTCTTTTAGATGCTTTTCCCATATAGTTGAGAAGGCAATGGCACCCCACTCCAGTACTCTTGCCTGGAAAATCCCTAGGACGGAGGAGCCTGGTGGGNGAAAATCCCTTGGACGGAGGAGCCTGGTGGGCTGCAGTCCATGGGGTCACTAAGAGTCGGACACGACTGAGCGACTTCACTTTCACTTTTCCCAGATAAGTCATTACAGAGTTTTGAGAAGTTTCCTGTGCTATACAGTGGCTCCTTATTAATTACCTACTTTATATGTAGTAATATGTGTATGTTATTCCCGATCACCCAATTTATCACTCTTCCATCTTTTCCCACCCTAGTAACTGTAAGTTTGTTTTCCCCATCTGTAACTCTATTTTATAAATAAGTTCATTTGTACCATTTTTTTTTATTCCACATATAAATGATATTATATATTTGTTTTTTTCTGTCTGACTTCACCACTCACTATGACAATCTCTAGGTTTTCACATTGCTGCAAATGACATTATTTTGTTCTTTTTTAGACTTAAAAAAAATTTTTTTTTCCATTTATTTTTGTTAGTTGGAGGCTAATTACTTTACAATATTGTAGTGGTATTTTTAGACTTATTTTTAAACAATTGCATTTAAAACCATTTGGCCAACCTTTTAGATGTATAATAACCAAAGGGACAGTTAGCATAGGAAATTGGTGCAAATAAAGATAAATGAAATGATATGTTTAATGCAGGTTGAGTTGGTGTTCTCCTAAGAATTTATTGTCATATTTTTCTTCGCAGTTTACCTGAAGTCCTGCAGAGACTTCAGGAGACATGTTCTTTTAGATTTATTCTTAAAACTGTGCGTCTGTGACTGCATAATTACTTGACTAAAGTATTATAAATAAATTTTCATGAAATAAATGAATTGAAATTTCTTTTGAACCTATTAAAACTTAGAATGGTTTATGGTAGTTTACATTTTTGTTTTTTTTTTGCTCAAAGTATAGTTGCTTGGAAACATGCCATAAAATTACTTTTTTCCTCTATGAAAAGTTGTGATGGAGGTACATTGACTTCCTAAAGACAATCTAGCTGTTTTCTTATGGATTTCTATAGTACAGTATACTTGATTGCAATGGGATTTTCTTTTGGTACTTAAAATAGTTGTAAAGTCTTTATCTGAAATTGTTGGGAAAAGATATGATTAACTATTTTTACCTCACTTGGAGTCAGAAAGTATAGAATTTATCATGGTTGAAATGTTAGTGATGGAAAGCATTAAAAAAGTAAGGTATACTTAGGGCAATTTTATTAAATTGGTAAAATCTAATGACTATATAATGTTTATTTTGTTTTCTATACAGCATCGTTAGTTATTCCTGCTGGTAGAACTCTTCCCAGTTTTGCTGCAGCAGAACTGGTATGTAGCTTATTTAAGATATATTTTTAAAAGAGATGCCCCAGTTTTAGTGAATGGTGGCCGAAGGCTGGGCAGAGATGTAATTTGTAAAACTTTAGTTGAATGAGGAAGGATGTTGTAAGGGATGGGAAGACAAAAATAGCTTCTATAACATAGGTGTCGGAAAAATTCAGGAGTTTCAGATGTAATATTTTCTTACCAGCTTTTCCTATTTTCCAGAGCAGCTGTTAGCATCCGCCAAGACTGTACCTACAAGATTAGGAAATTTCTAAAGTTACGTTGTATGGAGTTTTAATACACTGTATAATGTTTTATACTTAGTGGTTCCTAAGTAGATGATTTTTATATGCTGTATTTTCTGACCTTTTCCCTCCTAGCATTGAGGCAAATCATAGTTCTTCCTTTTATTTAAGTGGAATATTTTGGTTATTTTTTACCTTTGTATAATAGAGGTAGGTTTTCCCCCTAGGATATGGGGGCAGAAGGTAAAATTTAAAACTTAGATATAGAAAATTGACTAATTTTCAGGTGGGGAAAAACAGAACTATTTCTCTCTCTTTTTTAAAAAGGTTTCCCTAATGGCTTAGTGGTAAAAAAATCCACCTGCCAATGCAGGAAATGCAGATTCCATCGCTGGATCAGGGACATCCCCTGGGGAAGGAACTGGCAACTCATTCTAGTATTCTTGCCTGGAGAATCCCATAGACAGTGGAGCCTAGTGGGTTACAGTCCATGGGGTCGCAGAATTGGACATGACTTAGCAACTAAACAGCAACAAAAGATGATATATGATCCACAGTTGAGCTATTTCAAATCCTGAAAGATGACGCTGTGAAAGTGCTGCACTCAATTTGCCAGCAAATTTGGAAAACTCAGCAGTGGCCACAGGACTGGAAAAGGTCAGTTTTCATTCCAATCCCAAAGAAAGGCAATCCCAAAGAATGTACAAANCAATATTTTTGTAGGTTATATTCTATTATAGGTTATTGCAAGACAATGGGTACAATCCTCTGAGGTATACAGTATATACTTATAGTTTATCTGTTTTATATATGGAAATTTGTATCTATTAATTCCATACCCCTAATTTATCCTTCTCCTTCCCTCTCCCCTTTGGTGCCCACAAGTTTGTTTCCCAGTTCTGTGAGTGCATTTCTATTTTCAGCAAACATTTATTGAGGATCTGCATGTACACTGCTAGCTAAAGTATGATTCCTCTTCTTTAGATATACTCGATCTAATGGAAAATGAGAAGACAAACAAATGAGCAAATCATAACATAGCAGCAGAGAGGGATTACGCGCACGAGTCTAGGATTGATTACTGCATTTGAAATTGGAAGCAAGTTAATGACTTGCTTATAGTCTAACTGAGGATGGTTACTCAATCTCTCTGAGCCTCAGTTTTCTCATCTAAAAAGTGAGGAAAACAACAGCATTAAGTTAGGAAAAATGTGTTGAAGAGTCGATGAGATTATCTATCTATAATGTATCTTAAGGTGTCTGGAACATTGTAAGCCCCCAGTAAGTGTTAGCTGTGGCTTATTTGCTCTCTGTTTTTCTGCTGTTACTGTCAGAGGCTATAACAAAGTCTGAACAAACTGCTGAGGGAACACTGAGAGGACGTGATGAATTTGCCTTAGGCGAGGGTTTCCCAAGGTGGCATCAAAGCTGGATGTTGAGGATGGACTAAGAGGCAAGCATGTGAAGAAACACAGAAGGGGCATTGTGGGTCTCCAGAACAACGTGTTCAGAGTCCGAGTCACGAAAATACTGCAACAATTCAGAGAACACTTCAGAGACATTCTATAAGGTGGATGGGTAAGGTGGCCAAAATTGATGCTTAGACACAAGCTGGGGAGATAATATCTCTGCCATATAAAATGAACTGCCCTGGTGACTCAGATGGTGAAGAATCTGCCTACAGTGCAGGAGACCCAGGTTCGTTCCTTCGGTCGGGAGTACCCCCTGGAGAAAGGAATGGCTACACACTCCAGTATTCTTGCCTGGAGAATTCAACAGACAGAGGAGATTGGTGGGCTACAGGCCATAGGGTTGCAAAGAGTTGGACCTGACCAGAGCAGCTGACACACACACACAGAGTAAAATCAGATTTATAAAGTAAAAAGTCATAGGGCCCTGCAGGATTATATCCCGAAGTTAGCTGTTTTAACTGTATGACATATATCCATTTAGACTTACTCATTAAAGAAAGTTATATTAATTTTCACAGTAAAAGTAGGATCATTCTCTGGATTATTTCTGTAATTTCTTTTTCTAAACTTAGTAATATAGATGGTCCTTTTCAATGCCAGGTAAATATTGATTAGCCTTAGTGGATGTGTCACAGTTTAATTAACCAGTCTTTTGTTTATGGACATTTAAATTATTGTTAGTATTTTTCTAATATAGCATTACATTGGTGATACTTGTAGATAATGTTTTGGTGTGTTTGTGATAATCAGGTAATTGGGATCAATTTCTAGAAATAGAATTTCTGGGTCAAAGATAATGCATATTTTTAGTTTTGGTATATACTGTAAAATTGCCCTCCAGAAGGATTGTATAAGCAGTGGTGTGAGAGAATATGATTTTTTCTTATCATATTCTTAGCAACATTGGGTAATATTAATCAGTCTTTAAAATTTTTGCATGTCAGATAGGCAAACATATTTCTTTATATTTTCATTTAGTTTTTTAAAAATTTTAAAACCCTAAGGTTTAATTATTCCAAAATAAAAATGATACACTTTTATCTGCTTTAAAATAACATTAGTGATCAACCTACAGACTAGAGGACTCCTATAAACAACTGTGGTTCTTATATTTGACATCTTGAGGATCAGTGCCCATTTTAAAGCTATGTTGTAGGCAGATTTTATGAGTCAATGTTCATGTTATTTATGAAGACTTACTGACTTCATTGCTAATAGCAATAGGATGAAATTCCTTTTATTTTTAATGAGATGATCTACATCAAATATTAAAAAGCTGTTTTACTCAAGAGAACTCAGCCCTAATGTTGGGTTGCTATTGTCCTGTTGACCTTAATCAGATTTTTTTGTATCCTGTATGAGATCAGGAAAAAAGTTTCAAGTAAAGCCTCTTTCTAGCTTTCTAATATAAAATTTTCATATCTAGGGCACCTCAAACTCCAGTGCAAGCTTTACTTTTCCTGGTTATCCTATTCATGTACCGGTGGGTGTGACACAACAGACTGCATCTGGTAAGAGTATAGTCTTAAGAATATTTTGTTTTTAGCGTTGGTACTGACTTCTGGATATTAACTTCCATGATTTTAAGTTAACTATACCACAAGTCATTGAAGTTATAGGAACTGTTGATAAAACTTACTTAAAAGTAATAATAAATAGTTGTTATGAAAGCAATCTACCACAAAAAACACTAGGCCTCTATATTAAGACAGGCACTAAACTTGTCCCCACATTTCACTTCCAGTTCTCTTTCCCAACATTGTATAAGATGCTTTGTGTAGATTTTCTCTAGTTTAAGTCAGTTCCCTGAATTTTTATACACATGTCCCAGCTAGGTCTACTCAAGAAAAACTAAAGATTAGATTTATCAACCTTTGCCTCCTTTCTTATTGGAGATTATATCAGAATATTTGAAAAATTTGGAGGTTTAACTAGTGTCTGCTTTTCAGAGAACTGTTTCTTTATTTGAAAGAGAATCATACCTTTTTTTTGGGGGGGGGTCATTACAGAGTTTAAGCAAAGCAGCTGATTCAGTGCTCAGAGTAAATTTCTTTCTTCCTTTTAGTATTATTTTAAGGAAAGAAGGGGAAAATTTGTTAACTTTTGAAATTATTAAACCCTTTTTGGACAGCCTTGTCTTATGGTGATTCTATGGTATCTTATATCTAAAGTATACATTCTTCATGACTAGATTTCTTAAAATTCCCAATTTAGGTTATTAACATTGTAATTTATTACACAGTGGGAAAGGCTCATGGAATAAATATTGGTGGCCTGTATATGTTTCAAAATGTGCCATATAGACAATAGTGGGAAAAGGCTAGAGTTAAAGCAAGATATATTTAATTTTTCAAAATAAGAGTAATACATTATTATGATAGAAGACACACAAAAAAATCTGGAAAAAAAAAACTCCTAGAGATAACCACTATTAACCTATTGATATATTTCCTCTTGGCCTCCTGTGCATGAGATTGTTTTTTTAAAGGAGATTAGGGTTCTGTTATACTTACAGTTTTGTTTTCTCCTTTTTAAGCTCGCCTTTATAAAGTCAGTGTACCATTTATGGTGACACAGACTTCTGAAAAAGCAAGTATTCTTCAGCATCCAGTTCAGCAAGTATTTCAGCTACTTGGGCAGCCGTCAATAATACAGACCAGCATTCCACAATTAAACCCATGTTCTCTTCAAGCAACTACTGAAAAATCACTGAGAATGGAAACTGTGCTCCAGCAACCTATAGTTCTTCCTTCTGAGACAGTGGATAGGAAACATGTAGAAAACCCTGCCAGTGATATTCTTGTAGCTCCTGGAAATGAGCGTAAAATCATATCTGAAGCTGTACTGAATCAGCTGGTGAGCTCTCAGTACATCAGCTTTCCAGGTGTTGTGTTTACTCCACAGGTCTCGCAAGCAGATTCCACTGTGGAGCCAGTGCTCCGTGTTTCCGCTCGCATGACTCAAAATCTGCCTGGGCCCCTTCCCACTGGCCCTCAGGGAGCTCAGCGCCAGCACGTGCCTGAGGCTCAGCCTCGTGTTCTCAAAAACAGGATGTGTGGATGCGGTTCTGTAAAGCAGCCAGGAAGTGCAGAGGAGCCCAGCAGCCTCCCTGTCTCAGAGAAGGTAGTTCTATGTTTAACTTACTGGTATTAAGAGATAAATAGTAGCTAGTGATTAGATGTCCTGAGTGGCTTTTTTTTTTTTTTGTAAACTGTAACATTACTCAAAAATATGATTTGCTTTTTCATTTAGAAGATTGTTTCTTTATTTTCTTGAAACACACTTGTCAGTTTTTAGAAGTATTCATGCTCAGCATTTCTACACTTTCAGTTTTGACAAATGAATTAGGATATTTCTTTGAAGAAAATGCATTTGTTTTAAGCTTCCCTGCTGGCTCAGCTGGTAAAGAATCCGCCTACAATGTGGGAGATCTGGGTTCAATCCCTGGTTTGGGAAGATCCCCTAGAGAAGAGAATGGCTACCCACTGCAGTATTCTGACCTGGAGAATCCCATGGACTGTATAGTCCATGGGATCACAAAGAGTTGGACACGACTGAGCAACTTTCACTTTTTAATCTGTTTTATGTTTCCCTTACATTGTGAGGATTGTTTTTGTGTGCAGATAAAATTTAAAATTCAGAAGTGCATCCTATTCACTAAATGAGTATTTTGAGGTAATTCATTAAATGTTCAAAAGAGATCCAAAGTCTTATTTCTTGTTTTACCTTTGTGCTTATTCACTCTGTTCTACAGAATTTTCCTGAATTTCCATACGAAAGTTTTCTCTGCATGAGGAAGTATCTTTCTAGTAGGTATATTGTTTCTCTGCTAAAATAATAATTTCTTTTGGAATTCAAACCACTAAAAAATAGCTCCTAATTAACTTTCCATATTAAAAATAGGTTCATGTTAGTAATTCCCAAGGAATTCATAGTGATTGCAAAAAGATTCATGGAGAATTTTGCATGGTAAAATTAAAAAATCTTGTGTTATCTTTTTACAAATGTAAAATGTCTTACAGCTAACTCCACTTATACAATTTAGTGACAAATGACAAATAATTGAAAACTTGTGTCTCTGACTAATGATTTAGTAGTCCTTTAGAACTGCTGTACAGATCTGTAGCAATGTAGTAGTTAAGTGCAACCTTAATACTTTTAGATAGAAGGGAAGGGCATAGTATAAGGTTTACTGTGAAAGAGAAAGTCACTCAGTCATGTCTGACTCTTTGCGACCCCATGGACTGTATGTAGCCTGCCAGACTCCTTTGTCCATGGAATTCTCCAGGCAAGAATATTGGAGAGGGTAGCTGTTCCCTTCTCCAGGGGATCTGCCCAGCCCAGGGATCAAACCCAGGTCTCCTGCATTGCAGCCGGATTCTTTATTGTCTGAACCACCAGGGAAGCCCAGGGTATACTATAGGGTACAGTGAAGGATAACGAACAAAGAACATGTTTATCAGAAACCATTTGACTTATTAGAGTATTTCAGATGTTTGATGAAGCCTGTTCAAAATCTTTTAGCAAGTGTTTTTAGTTTAGTTTGGCATAATGTATGAAGGGCTCTGTAGTGACTCAGATGATAAAGAATTCACATGCAATGCAGGAGACCAGGGATTGATCCCTGGGTTGGGAAGATCCCCTGGAGGAGGGAATGACAACCCACTCCAGTATTCTTGCCTGGAGAATCCCCATGGACAAAGGAATCTGGCGGGCTACAGTCCATAGGGTTGCAAAGAGTCAGACATAACTGAGTGACTAAGCACACACGTTAAGGGTAAAATACTTTTTGAGCATTTTTTATCATATTTTCACAAACCATATAAAATTTAAGAAAACGATAAATTCCTAATTATGAAACAGTTGGTTTTGAGAGAAAATGACTATAAGTGTTTTTATCACTTATAATTTTAGAGGCATTTTCCTCCTGGACTCTGAACTTTGAATATTTCTGGAGTGACGATTCAAGGACTTATTCTACTGTCACTTATTAGACGTCATCTTGTACTTTGTTCTGATATGGAGAAGTAGATTAGTTAAGGAAGATTAAGAAAGGATTGTTTAGAGGGTAGTGGTTAAGAGCTTAAGCTTTAAAGCCACAACAGGTTCAAATTCCAGGTTTGCCTCTTAAAAGCAAACTATGTAATGTTGCTCTTTAAAATTCAGTGATTGTCTGTAAACTGGGCATAAAACCAGCCTCATATTTTAGAGTTATCAGAGATGTATATGGAGTTTTTAATAGCTTCTGTCACCATAATAAGATTTAGATTAGTGCTGTTATGCTTTATGGGCATGTGACATATTGGATAATGGTTCATACATCTTGTTGGTTGATTTTAAAATATATCTGTATTGAAAACACAAACATTGAAAGGAATTTAATTTATAACATTTAAAATTTTTTTCCATAGGATATCTTAAAATAGTAATCTGGTAAAATTTATACTAGTATAATTTTCAAAAAAGTTTATAAATAACTATAAGTAGCTTTTCAGAAATTCTTATTGCTGAAAACAAGTTACAGTTAGCCCTTTGTGTACAATTAGCCTGCTTTTCCTGTGTAGACTGCCAAGATGTTAAGTTTTTATGTAGGTTTAACATCATTACTGTTGCATAAAATATATTCCTGACAGTTTTTGACGTGCTCCTATTTTAAGGTGCATATTATGATATATTACTATGTTAAGTTTTTCCTCAGTGGAGGAATTTTGTTTTCTAATCTTATAATGCTATAGAAAATGAAGAACTCGGGTTTTCATTGTAACTCCCAAAAGTAGGAGAGAAATGGGTATGATGGTGTATCTTCTCCAGCTCCTTTTCCTCTCTTGCTTTTCTCCCCACCATCTTCCTTGTCCCTCTCCCAAATATTATTTCTGCTACCTTCTCTTCTAAATATTTACCTTTTTGACTGCTTCCTCTTTTCTCCTCATGACTCTTCTTTATCTGCCCTTCCTGTTTCCTAAAGGTTCTATCCTCAGCTCATTTCTTAGTTCATGTTTTCCGTGGGCAGTCTCATGCAATATCATGGCTTTAACTATGATCTTCTTATTGATAACTGCATATCCAATCCTGTTATTCTCTTGAGCTTCAGTCTCCGACTCGATGGACATGAGTTTGAGTAAGCTCTGGGAGTTGGCGATGGACAGGGACGCCTGGCGTGCTGCAGTCCATGGGGTCACAGAGTTGGGACATGACCGAGTGACTGAACTGAACTGAAAGTATTGAAATCATATAGAGTCTGTTCTCTTTTCATATAGTGGACTCTCAAACAGCACAGGGGTTAGGGACCCTGAGCTCTCTGCAGTGAAATATCTACATATAAGTTTATAGTCAGTCCTCTATATCCATGAAAGTGAAAGTCGCTCAGTTATGTCTGACTCTACTGGAGTGGGTAGCCTTTCCCTTCTCCAGGGGATCTTCCCAACCCAGGGATCGAACCCAGATCTCCCTCATTGCAGGCAGATTCTTTACCAGCTGAGCCACAAGGGAAGCCCTCTGTATCCATAGATTCAGCGAATCACAAATCTTGTAGTACATGTTCATTGAAAAAGATCCATGTATAATGGACCTGCACATTTCAAACCTATATTGTTCAAGGGTCCACTGTATAACATATGATTTACCATTTTTTAGGTGTATAGTTCAGTGGCATTAAGTATGTTACATTGTTGTGCAACTATCACTACTGTGCATCTCTCGAACTTTCTAATCATCCCCCAAATGAAATTCTGTACCCATTAGAAAATAACTTCCCATTACCCCCTCCATTCAGCTACTGGTAACTTCTATTCTACTTTCTGTTTCTATGAATTTGATTACTCTAGGTACCTTGTGAATGGTATCATACAATATTTGTGCTTTTGTGACAGCTTTATTTTACTTAGCACATTTTTAAGGTTCATTCATGTTGTAGCATATATAGGAATTTCATTCCTTTTAAAGACCGAATCGTATGATTTTTGACATCCTTTAAAACCAAGTATTTCTGGAATCTATTCCCTCTTCTCCATCTATTGCCCTAATTGTCTCTCACTTGGGATAATATAGTTTCTAACTAATTACTAGCCTTATGGTCTCTGCGGGTTCTTCTTCCACTCTCCCCAATCCACCCATCCTACAGGTTAAAAGATTCAGGGATGAGAACTATTTTGGATTCCTTTTATATCCCTTAGTAATTGTGTGAGTTGGGCAAGTTACTATATCCTCATTTGTAAGTAAAGATAATCATATCTACCATAGAAGTGTGATGGTGAGAAAATCAGTGTGAAGTGCTCAGCAGCATACTTCCTAGCACATGGTAAGAACTCATTTACATTAGCTATGATCTCTGCTCCTCTTGACTACCATAGATTTACCGAGCATGCGGCCTGCTTGCCATGTTACTGCCTGCCCATCAAGCTACAGGATAAAATTTAAACTCCTTGTGAAAAAAAATTAATAAAAACCTCAATTAAATACAGTTGGGAGACCTGCAGGGGGCGCTCTTCACAGCCAGTGACAATGGCAGAGCCCAGCTAGAAGGACCCCTCTTGTTTCCTGACAACAACTTAACCAATGAAAAGCCCTGAGATCTTTTACTGTAGCTTTCCCCACTTCCTTCTTTCTATAAGCTTTCTTCCCTCGAGGGGACTTGCACATAGCTTGCCACAGTTGCACACCCCAAATCTCTGCTCATCCTGAGTGAGCCTGTCTATGCTGAGAAATACCTGGCAGTCTCCTTTTAGTAGGTAAGCACTCTTAGTGTGGCGCACAAGGACCTCCATGTTGTTTTCTGCTGGTTTCTTTCTTACTCTTCCTTCATTTCATACCTACTGCTTTATTGGGAACAACAAACTGTGAGCAATTAGCTGTGTTGACTTTGTTGTTTCCTGCCCCTCTTTGGTTTTTCTATTCCCTCGGCTTTGTGCCTGGATTTTTCTCCCACCATCCTTTCTTTTGGTTAATTCCTACTTAGCCATTTGTTACTTTCTCCAGAAATCTTATTTTAATACCTTTCTGTCTACCAACTCCCCTTTTATTAGTTTGGATGTATCTCTTCTGTGTCATCATAGCCCCTTAAGCATGTATCTGTCATAATGTAGTTAAAAGATATGTTAAAATGTCCTCTGTGCACCGTGAGGTAT